ACATATTATCCAGCTATTCCTAAATAATTTCAAGTAAATTAGCCAAGACCCTTGGTTGGTTTACAAACTAGCTGCTAATTTAGTTAAAATACGTTTTCAATTAAAATAGCTGACAGTTTGGCTAGTTTATAAACTACCCAGCTACTTAATAAACTATCCATGTTTACACATTAGCCGTAACATATATATATGATATACGTATGTATTTTATACATTAACATGTTTGGTCTGGGCATGTGACGGCCGAGGACTTTGTGCATAGAGTATAGACTTTGTTGTCCTATTTTGTTAACGTAAATTATCCGAAACAAACTCACAAATATTAAATTTTTGAAAATGTAAACAAAACATAGAAAAAGAATTTAAAAAGTTAGGTTATGGTTATGCAGTAGTTCCACATTTAACTAAGTAGTAGTTTAATTAACTTTACCCCTTCGATCTTAGCGCCACCTAGCGGCTTGGCACGTTAAGGAAGCCACCACGAAGCTTAAAGTTGCAAGACCTGTATATAAGACCGTGGTTTTGACAGATTCAAAAAGTTTAAAAAAAGACCTTTAAAATGTAGAAAAAGAATAGATGTTGACATAGATTACTTGTAAAATTAGTTTTGTATTTGTTACAATGTTATTTTTTTTATTAGTTAGTGTAAATAACTATTTTAAATTATAATAAAGATTTAGGCATACCATTTGTTTAAATTTATTATAGGTAATTTACATTATAAAATTGTGACGGCACAAAATGGTTTGACAATACAAAAAATTTAAATGTCAAAAACTGCTTGGTTTCTTTTCTCTGTTTAAAAAGCGTTACTATTCTTACGTAGTCGTAGAGAAAATAATGTCTGAAACACGTTTGGAATAGCATATTTCACTCTCGTAAAACCGTCACACTCGCCTTCGGCTCGTGTGTCAAATTTTTCCTCGAGCGGAATATGCTGTATTCCAAACTTGTTACAGAATGTACTATTTTTTTACTCCTATTACGGAATTTGACCGTTCTATTATCACTTTTATCTATGGAATGACATATATTCCGTAAAGTGTTACAGAATTAAATATTCTATCATCCTATGACAGAATAAACACTCGTGGCGACATCTCTGTTTTTAATATCTAACAAATTTTAGACCGATCCAACCTCACTTTCTTTCAATCAAATGACTTTTCTATGGTATTTTTTGGAAACGTAGAAAAAGTATAGTCTGAAACACGTTTGGAATTGCATATTCCGCTCTCGTGAAACCGTCAAACTCGCCTTCGGCTCGTGTGACAAACTCTTCACTCGAGCGGAATACAGCAGTATTTCAAACTTGTTACAGAATATACTATTATAGCGTCATGAATAGCGTAACGGGCGCGACCTTAAAAAATCGGCTAATGCTACCAAGTTGGCTTCTAAAGTTGATACTGTAAAATTTTGGATGAAAGCATATAGTAATAATTTTTTGTGTAAAACAAGCACGTATTTTAAATGCACAAAAATTGCATACTTTATTTTCTAAAATTTTCTCAAAATGTAACGGGTGCGACATTTGAACATTTTATCGAGTATTGAAACTCTTCCGTGTTTATTCTTAATGTTAGCTTCTTAGCGTCACAATGTACGAATATTTTAAGGTTATAAATTACGTCGCAATTAAACTATTTGACTTCCGATATAGGTAGTTGTTATTTTGTTAAATAACACATCTGATTTTTTGTCAAGGTGGGGTAAGGTTTCGTGGAAAATCCAAAAATAAATTATTTTGAAAAATAAAAACCTTTATACAAAGAATGAAAAACGTCAACTACTTAAGTAGTTGACGTTTTTCAGTTATGGTACTAATTGTTAATTGACATGGTATACATACATACCTTGAGGCTTAAAAATTAAATATTTTAGCCAATTGGCTAAAATAATTAATTTTTAAGCCTCAAGGTATGTATGTATACCATGTCAATTATGTCAATTAACAATTAGTACCATAACTGAAAAACTTTATAAGACCTGTTTTTAACTCTTTGAGTTTAGTACAAAAATAAAAAAATCGTGAGTAACCTTTTTAAAATAAATTATTTCATTTGATATGGATTGACCTAAGGGAAAAACCACAAAAACCAACAATTTTTTATTTAATGATACCTAATTCGATTTCTTATAAAAAATGTTTTATTTTAAACACCCACCTCATATTCTTTAATTTATATAGCTGAAAACACTCAAAACAAATACAAATTTTCTTTTTATTTTAGATTAGTAGTATCAAGGTTTACAAATATTATATGAATATTATTGTGGTATTTATCTACAAGGACAAGACATTTTACCAATATTGGTTTAAAATCTTAATTTTATCATACACAAATTGGAAATATCACAAAAATTAAAACAAAAAATATTTCTTATCCATTGTTTAAACAATATTTATTCTGCTTTGAATTTAATTTTTTTTAGTTGAGTTGGTGCAAGAAAAAGTCACTGCCCATACCGCACATGTTTTAAATAAAATTATATAAATTTTACATTACAAATTTTCTTTAATTATAAAGCTTCAACCATGAATTAATTTATACCTGTTGTAGATGCTTGTAATCTTTTAGGGTTTAATAAATACATAAAAAAAATTAATACAGCAATTGCTACAGGATTTATAATTAAAATCTGAACACTAAATAAAAATAATACTATTCGCCTAACTACTAAATTTAAACACATTGTCAATAATTACTACATAATTTTTCCGGATTAGAATAATAAACTTAAAGGAAGATTAGGGTGGCCCAAAAAAAAAGAATATCTTTTTTTTCTCGTCTCTTGTAAAAATATGTTAGTTTATCATGCTGTAAGAGCCCTGTCAAAATATCAGCTCGATTAAAAAAATTTTAGGGGTCGCTCAATATTTTTTAAAATTTTCAAAATCGTCAAAAATTGAATTTTTGTTTTATTTTAATTTTTTTCTTGTCTCGATATTATTTTTTTTGGTAGAAAAAAATAAAAATTTTGAAAATATCAAATCAATATTTTAATTTCTAAAGGTCGCTAAAAGTTCGTTGGTATTTATGTATATTCAGAGGTCGCTCGAAAACATTCAAAATACTCTACTTTGAAAGTTAAAAAAATCTTGAGCGACCTTTAGAAATCAAAATATCCATTTGAAATTTTCAGAATCATTATTATTTTTAAATTAAAAAATAATATCGGAACGAGAAAAAAAATTAAAATAAAAAAAAATCCAATTTTTGACGATTTTGGACATTTTTAAAAATCTTGAGCGACCCCTAAAAAATTTTTAATGGAGCTGATCTGTTGACAGGGCTCTTAAAACATGACAAACCAACATATTTTCACAAGAGACAAGAGAAAAAAAATATTCTTATTTTTTTGGGCCACCCTAAGGAAGATATAAAAAAACTGTATTTCCCTACATTAAAAATAACCACAAAAACTAAACTAAAATAAAAAAAATCCTAACAATTTTATTTTGCTGCCTCAAGCAATGTTTCATAAATTATTTGCTCCAATTCTGCTTTAATTCGATCTTTTTCAATTGACTTTCAATTATTTCAGGGACATTAGACAAGAACCGAATTAAAAAGTTCTTTCGTTTGCCCGCATTCCGATCGTATAACGCAAAAATATTTAAATAAAGGATATAACAATTAAAATATATTTTAATCTATTCAATAAACCGTAATTTAGGTAATAAAAATTATAACTTAATGGTGTTTAGTCAACTTCTTATCAATTGTGAATAAGCACTGTACATACCTACAAATTGCGGTCTTAATATAAGGTAAAAACAATTGGTAACGAGTGCAAAAATCGTGTGCAAAACCGTCATCAAGAATTCGCCATTGGTTTTGCTAATCAGTTCTAGTTCCAGTTCATGTGAATGTATTGGAACACACAAATTATTAGCAATGTGATGTGCATGACTAACAACTGGTGATTTAATGGAATTGTTATTAATGTAATAAGTGATAGACAATGATACCCATGTTTTAAGAATACAAAAAAACATTGATAGTGCGATATTTAAAACCACATATTGTATAATACACTGTGCGTCAAAATTAACGCAGAACAAGTAAAAAAATCTAACTAAAACGCGTTTTAGTTAGATTTACTACGACTTTACTAATCTTTTTAAAATTTTGGATAAAAATACTAACATATCTCAGTTTACGTGTTCAAGGCTTTTTCGAGAAAATATCCTTAAAGCCCTTTTATATAATAATAAAAAACGTTAAAAAAAATTTTATATGGAAATAAAAAAATATGCTGTAAAAGACCGTATTTTTTTTAGTTGGAATTTTTTTATTTATTATGCGTTAATTTTGACGCGCAGTTTATATCACCTTAGTGCTAATAATTAAATGTGATGTATTTTAGTGATATATAATAATAAATTAGTTGTTAGTTCTACCTATATATTGTGGTTTCAATAAAACAAAAAAGAAAGTAATTTTAAAATTGCTTTGATTGAATTTTAACAATTAAACAGTAAAGTTTTCAAGGCCTTTGCAAAGATGTTTGTGATTTATAAGCTGGTAAAATATGCAAATAATTTTATGCACATTTAAATAAAATGACAACAATTAAAATTTAAGCAAAAAACGCATTTTTTAATTAAAGTAAATGAAAACTGCTTACCTTACAATGTGTTCTAGCAGTTTGGTATTTCTAATAAAGCCTTGTATTGGAAAGTTTAAATAATTTGAACAATTGTTATGTAAAAACCAGGAATTAAACCTTTCACTTGTAATATTTCTAGGTTATATCTCCTCTTTGCAACTTAAAATTCCTGTATTAATTTAACTTGGTGATGGTCGAACTGATAATCCATTCAAATTAAAACGAAAAGTTCATTAGGTTTAATATGCAAAATGCTTTAACTTATTTTGTTGTTAATGAAACGCAATCAAATTTTTTCGGCCAATTTCGGACGTCATTTTCAATCTTGACATGGCCTTCTGACGTTTAACGGTGCCAACGTAATAAAACTAAAATTGTTATATCGAATTTTTATTAGCGGTGACAACTTAATAAAACAAAAATTCTTACATCGAATTTTTATTGGGCGATTATACTAGCCTTAAAATAAATAAATATACAAATGATAAACTTAACGAACTCCATGCCCCTGAACCATTCTTATTCTGACATCCACTGGGGAATTTCTTTCCTGCGACACGTCCATTTCGATTTCGTCTTCCTCCTCGTCTTCATGACTGTCAGACTCATCATCATCATCGTTGTCATCTTCATCATCCTCCTCCTCATCTTCCTCTAAATTCTAAAATATGAAACTTAAACATAAAAACAAGGCTTTATTCGGAATTTACTTACTTCTGAAGCAGTTTTGCCAATTGGTGTTAAATCGGAATTCTTCTGAGATATTGAATGCAGCTAAAAATACCAAATTAGCGATTTTTTGTGATTCACAAATTGTAAACATACCCAAGTTTGATGCTCTCTTTCCATTTGAGTGACTTCGTCGTCATCATCAACGGGCCCGTCAACGTCAAACCAAGAAGAATCAATTAATTTAGGCTTTAATTCGGGAAATAAAGGCAAATTCATTTTGTTTTGGCACCAGACAAAAACTTTGACATTGGGAATTTTATTACTTTATGTTGGCAGAAGAAATTTTATACCAACGCCAACTAATCAATTGTTTATTTATGTTGTCGACAAACCGTTTTCAGCATGTCAAAACGTAAAAATGCGTTTTCTGAATCAAAATCTGAATCAAAAAGAATACACGGAACACAGTTCGACGGTAAAAAGCACACGTTAGATTCAGACGAGGAGGATTTTGTTGACGATGATAATGTACTGGATGTGGACGATATTGAAGGTGAAGAAGATGGTATTGCAAGACAGGATGGGGAGCAAAGAATGACTGCATTTAATATGAAGGAAGAAATGGAGGAGGGGCACTTCGATAAAGACGGGCATTTTATATGGAGCAATGAGACGGAGATTAAAGATAATTGGTTGGATAATATTGATTGGCAAAGGATTAAAACCAATGCAAAATTTAAGGAGAAATATAATGTTGATGATAAAGGTTTGGGGGCAGAGTCGGACTCGGATGAGGGTGCTGAGTCAGATTTTGATGAGATAGAAACATATAAGAAAATTATTGGTTATGTTAAGCCCAAAGAAACCATAAATAAGGCTATAAAGAGGTTAAGTGGGGATCAAAAGTTGTCTAGTATGGAAAGATTAAGGCGTAAGAAAGCTGGAACTTTAAATTCTAGTGAAGATGTAACAAATCTGACCGAATTTGCCAATAAAATATTAACAAAGTTGGGTAATATGGATATTTATCAGGAAACTTTTGAGCAAATTCAGGGAAAAATTGATCTACATGATAACAAAAATAAAGCTAAAGCCAAAGAACCAGAGTTGGACATGTATGCAGATGATTTCGATTGTAAGGAACAAGTAAAATTTACTGCAGGGCCTTCAACCAGCAAAAGTGGTGTAGACACTAAAGAAGAAACAATAAAACAAGAAATAAAATGGGAGTTTAAATGGAAACCGGAAGATGAAGATATTCAGGGCCCATACACAACAGCCCAAATGGTCAAATGGGCCAACGAGAATCATTTTAAAACTGGTGTTTTAGTGAGAAAATGCGGTGACAACGGCAATTTTTATACCTCTAATAGGATAGATTTTGAACTCTATGAGTAGATGGATTTTATGTAAATTTTTATATCTATTTCAACTTGTAAATAAAGATTTACTGTTTTATTTTATTTTCATACGGACCTGTCTTCTAAGTAGTTCAAATGTTCCAAATAAAAAGGTTATGTTTTATAGGAAATAGCTATTTTCGGGGAGCTCATTCCGGACATCCTAGGCATGCGCTTTTTAAACTTTGGCGTTCAAAATGTAAAGTGCGCATGACAAATATTAAAATGTGCATGCCTAGGATGTCCAACCTAGTTCGGGATTGGTACTGCGAAAACACATTAATATATTTTATCCTTTTTCCACATAATTTATATAATGGAATATTTTAAGTTATATTTAGGTTATTATGGATTATAATAGAACTTTTTGATTTAATACGTTTCCTTTGTATCATGATACGGTCCTGTATTCACATAATAGTTTAAATGTACCAAAATATAGGTTATGTTTTGATACTTTGACATTTATTTACCTACCTTATGAAAAATGAGTTTAAAATGGATAACTTTAAACGACAGGTACTGTAAACACAAATAAACAAAACAAATTATACAAATGCATAATTTAGATTACAGAATGGAGCCAAATTAATTAATTCATTGCCTACAAACAAATTCAAGATAATTTTAACGCAAATTCAATCATCTAAAGGAGACCCTTTCACTGAGGAAGAGTTAACTAAACTACAAGAATCACTAAAATTAAACAGTGCAAATCTGCAGCTATTAATACAGTGTATTGCGCATATTTTTAAGCAATCCAGTAAAGTTATATTAAAACCAACAGTTCTGCAAAAACAGTTGGTTGAAGATTTGAAATTAGATGAAGAAAAATCTGAAGAATTCGTAAAAATATGGCTGCAGGAGACCAAAAATGATTTTGGTAATTTTGAAGATCGGCTGAAATTAGAAGACATGTCCTGGGAGATAAACTTGCAGACTGCTTCAAAATTGTGCAGTAAAGAGACAAAACCCAATGCAAGAATACATTTTAAATTATCTGATAATCACAATAAAAAAGATAATGTTACTTTGGAACTTGATGAGGAGGAGTTATTAAATTTGTATAACAATTTAGAGATGATTCAGGCCAAATTAGACAACTTGTGAATAATAAAAACGTTTATTTTTTAATTATGTTAAATTTACAACCATGTTTTTCTGTGCATCTATACTGGGTAATAGTTTTTGAGATTTTAAGCTATCTTCTACAACTTCTTCTGAAGCCCCACTAGCAGCTAAAAGTAAATGCATTGCACCCTCCAAGTTTGTTAAATCTTTGTACAAATCTAATTCTTGTTGCAGCAAAACATTCAGGTTTACAACAAGTTTTAAAGTTTCTGGAGGTAAATCACATATTCTGTTTTCAAAGACATCAAAGAATATATTTGCAACATCTATTAATATTCTTGTAAACCTTATATCTGGGAGGTTTTTAATCAGAAAACGAAGTACTTGAGTTATAGTTTTGTTATCTCTACCTTGAAATGCTTTATCTAGAGCTCTACGCCTCAAAAGTTCCTGCATTAGAGAAACAGTGACTTGTGGGGTTTTGTTTGCAACATAACGTAGTAAAACACAGTCCAATGCCTTGGAATATTCAAATTTCCTCAAGTGATTATCATACTTTGCTTGTTTTTCATGGTGTACTTCAGAAATAATAGTATCAACATTTGTATGAGTTTGTGAGGCATATCTATATGATGATATTTTCTTTTCAGTTTTTTTGTCCAGTGGCTCCTCCTCGCGTCTACTTATCGAAACTAAACCATCAACTAACCCAGCTACTACAGTGTCATCATTTTTAGAGACCCCCAAACTTAATACAGAGTTAGGGAAATCTAGAGTGTGCACTACTTTGAAGGAACTTGTGTCGTAAATTTTAACATGTCTATCAAGACTGCCAGATAGAAGTCTTTTGTTATCTGAGGCTAACTTCAGACATGTGATTGTTTTATGATGTTGAGATATGCTTCCTAATAGTTTTCCACCTGCTATGGTGTCCCATATTTTAATATCAGTACCTCCAGCTGATAAAAATACACCCCCGGAGGGTAAAAATAATAGTGCCTCAATCGGTGACCCGTGGTTTATGCTTAAAACCTCGTTTTCTGTTCTTGTATCATACATTTTTACTATGCTATCATAACCCCCAGATAAAACTATATCTGGCACTACAGGGCTTGTGGCTCCAGCCCTAATATAATCTGTATGGCCACGGTATGATATGACATTTTTTTCTGTGGGAATATCCCATAATCTTACCGTTTTATCATCCGAGTAAGATGCAATTTGAGCTTTATTGGGCACAAAGTAAGTTCTGTGCACAGGTGCTTCATGTCCTTTAAATAACCTCAAAAGACTTTTTGTGGAAACATCAAATAGCTTAACGTTTGTCTCCTCCCCACCAGCAACAATAAGTTTACCATCTGAACGGAATGTAGCCCCATACGCATTTTCTCTGAACCTTGATAAATTTTTAACCACTAATTTTGTAATGGGGTTGTATACTTGCACTCTGACAGAACACGTCACAGCAAAATGATGCGGTTCAATTGGCGAGAAGTCTATGTAATCTATGGGGCCAAACTCTTTCACTAAAACTGGGACCTAAAAAAATAATTTTAGTTTTGATGACACTAATTAAGATTTCGTGCAATACGTACCCCTAATTTTTTCCAGTAAATATAATCCGGCGTTATTTCCGGACCACTTTTCTGGAATATTTTCGTATTTAACTTTTTGAAGGCAGGCATTTTGAGGTTAGACCATGTGTTTATAAAAATTATTTTTTTTTTGACATTGGTAACACTGTCAAGTTACATCGAACTCCCATTCGATGTTCAACGCTTTGTTGATGACCTGAATTGACGTTTTGTGGTTAATATTTGTTGATGTTTTGTTGTGTGGCCAATTATTGAATTATGTTGAGTATATAAGACAAAAATAGTAACTAAATGAGTTAAAATCGACCATAATAGTAATAATAATGGCAAAAACGACAATTTGGCCTATTTATGGCAGCAGACCTCCTTGTTTTATTAATCAAAGACTTGAAGAAAGAAGGAAAAGAGCACTGGAACTGAGGACTGAGCACAATAGAAAAACTGATAAACCCGAAGATTTCATCACATATGATGATAGTGATAGTGATGAGGAGCCATTATCAGTACAAAAAGGAATTTTAAATACATCTTATAACTTTGTTGATTACATTAGGAATAGGGAAATTGGGAGTAGTTTTAGGAGTTCTTCCACAGTGGCAAACGATTACGGAAGTAGGCACATTTTAAACCATGAAATGTTTCGAGAAACTGCCGTTCCTTTGGGAAACATGAATAAAGTGTTCTGCTCACAGTGGCTAAGTGAAAGACAAGTTGTTTTTGGTACAAAATGCAATAAGGTAATTTTATTTACTTTTGACTTATTTAAACTAAATTAATATAATTGTAGCTTATGGTTTATGATGTGGTTACACATAAATTAGATCAAATTCCCTCGTTGTTAAGTAGGAGAGACCCATTGGGTAACGAACAACAACAATGTGGTATTCATTCAGTTCAAATAAATCCTTCAAAAACTTTGTTGGCAACAGGTGCTAGAAACACTTGTGATATTGCCGTTTATAGACTTCCCACACTGGATCCTATTTGTGTAGGAGAGAATGCACATAGAGACTGGGTAATTGTTGAAAAAAGAATTTTGTTGATTTTTTTTATAATTTTGTCATTTATTTCTTTTAACCAGAAATAAAAAACATAGGTATCATAATTTATTTTCTATTATTTATTTGGTAATATTTGGTAAAAATGGTAATATGTCATTAGAGTGATTAAAAAAATCAATTCTTTAAAAATAAAAGGTTAATTATATTGTTTTTATTAAATGTAATTTTATTTTATTTAAAAATCATTGTATAGTTAGATATTTTTTATGGACTCCTTTTTGCAACAAAAAAACCCTCGAAAAAACCCAACAGATAGTAAATTTCACGTTTACGTTTATTTTCTTAAATTTAATTTAATGTTTAGTTTTATTTTTTTTTGTAATAAAGGATTTTTTTATTTAAAATAATGTTAACTTGTTGATTGCCACTTTTTTCAAATGTGTATATTTTCCAAAAACAATTTTTTCCCAAAAAAGCCAATTTTTTCAAGGCCTGGGAAAAAAACGGAAAAAACAGGTTTTTCCCCAATTTTTCCTGTTTTTTTTCAAAACTTTAAAACCCTAGTAAAAACAAAGTAAATATTTTATCAAAATCTTGCGAAAAATATGTATTTTTTTAATAATACATTACCCACCAAATTAACAAAATTAAAAGTTATAGGTAGGTATAAGAAATTTTTACTGAAATTTTATTTTTTTCCCAAGGTTTTTGATATGTGTTGGCTTGATGACGAATTCTTGGTCTCTGGCTCAAGGGATAACAAAATGGCTCTATGGAGAGTAACTTCTGATATGCTGGAAAGAAAACAAGATATTCCAGTGCATCAGCATGTTTCAGCAATATCTGTTAAAGACTGTTATAACTCACAAAGAGTAAGTATATTGACCATTTAATAATATGTATAATGTACTATTTCTGCCGTTAAATTCTGTTGTTTCAAATAATTTACATAAAGTTTTCTAAATTGAATAAACTTATTAACTTTTCTTTAGGTGCGTGGTTTGACTTTTAATAAATCATATAGGGAGATAGCTGCGTTGTCGTTAAACGGTTTTATTCACATTTGGAGTGCCGAAACGTTTAAACAAAAGTTTAGTAAAAAGTTACCTTCATCGCAAGAAAACGTTTGTTTGGCTGTTCAGGATTCTGGTCTTTATGCCATTGGTTGCAGATCTTATACTTTGCTCCTGGACTGCAGAACACTACAGGTAAATAACAACTTTTTTTTATTAAATGACGTTTATTAAAATTTAATCTGGTTGTATTTTTAAAATCAAGATAATTGTTTTTTGAAACACGCAACTTTCAGACAAATATTGCCAAATAAAACTAATACTCGGTTGTCCCTGGATTGGGTTACAAAGAGGAAAAAATATTTTTAAAGATTTTGCCTGCTCTTTTATTTCTCTAAAAGTTATGTATTCACTTTCACGTTCTCTGCTGTTTTTCTGCCAAAAAGTAGTGGCAAAGAATGTCCAAGAAATGGCAGAGAAAATTTTCGCAAGTGTTTCCATTCTGAGATATAAACATTTTTCTTTAGGTAAAAGAAATTTTCAGAAAAAATTAAATAATAATAGTAGGTAGTAAATTTTTCTGACAAATCAAATATTTTTTTTTAAATTTAAAGAAAAATGCCATGTTCTCTTAAAGATATTAAAAAAGTTTTTGAATATATAAGGGTTTATCATAAAAATATAAATATAAGGGAAAATCATCAAAAATATTTTTATTTTATTTTTTCAAATTTAGTCGTTTTTCACAATATACAGTGTTGGCCATAATTTTTGGAACCACTCTAAAGAAATCTAACTCTAAAACGCCTTTATTATTCTTTATGAAATTTTGGATAAAAATACTTCAACTTATATCTCAGTTTACGTGTTCGAGGGTTTTTCGAGAAAATATTTTTAAAGCCCTTTTATTTAATAATGAAAAACCGTTCGAAAAATAACTTTAAGGGTAATTTTACATAAAGAAATATGGTGTAAAGACCGTATTTTTGTTAGTACACCCTGAAAATTTTGTACAAATAAATCGAACAGTCAAAGTCGGTGAAAATGGCCCCTTTTTGATTATTTTGCTGAAAAGTGGTCATTTTTGACGACTTTGAATCGCTGTATCTTCGTTGCTGTTCATTTGATTTGTACAAAATTTTCAGGGAAACTAACAAAAATACGGTCTTGAACAGCATATTTTTTATTTACTTAAAAAAAAAAGTTATTTTTCGAACGTTTTTTTTTGTAGAGGGTAAAATTGTCTATAACTCCTCTCGCTTGGGTGTTGCGAAAACAAACCATTCCAAAATTATAAGAATTTAAAATTTAAAAAATAAAAATTCCCGTGTTATAGAAATGGAAAAACAACAAATGAATTGAGGCAAACCTTTATATTAATATTAAGAGCTCAAGTAAAAAAAAAATGTTTGTTTTATAATGTACTATTAATTTTTCAACACCATTAGAAAAAAAATAATTTTTGTTTTTTTTTTTAAATGTTTTAATTTATCTCTTACTTTCTAATTTTCCAAAGGTGAATCTGAATCCGACCTTAGAATTGATTGTTACAGTCAGGTTTTTAAGAAATTCTAACCCAAAAGTAGACAAACTTAGTTTTTTCAATATTTAAGAATATATCGCATCACACTGTATTTTTTCTCCACAAAACTCGTTACGCCATCTGAAAGTTGTGTTCTTCCCCTTTAAAATCCTCTTTGAATGTTTTCAATACCTTTTCTCCTGTTCAAGAAATCTTTAGTTGGAATTTATTATTATAGTTTAAACATTTGATTTATTTGCTCCTACTGCATAATATTGTGTTTTTTAATACAGGGTGTCTCAAAACTCAAGGACAGCAGAAAAGGGGTAAATAGAGAATGGGATTCTAAGTTGAATGGAATTTGCCGTTTTTCGATCAGACGCACCATTAATTAGTTATTAATAAAATAAAGTAGCCAATCACAGGCGTGTTTTAGCAGACTGATTAGAGGTGGGACAACACAAACTTTTGTAAAAATTCCATAGCTATGAACATGTCATATGTGAAATGACCTTAAATTAATTTATTTACTGTCACTGTCAGTGTTTTGGTTTTTTAGGTTCAGTAGAAATGTTTATTTTTTTGTGTGGGACAAATAGGTACCTACCTATCTTTTTGTTATTTTTTTTTAACTTGCGAATTATTAAATAAGTAAATACAAGGTTGATGGTGATATACTTTACTTTACTATTACTTTTTATTAAGTAAAAATAATTACTTTATTAATAATTAATTTTTACATTATTATTTAATTAGAGATATTTTTATCCCTGATGAATATGACATACATTGTAATGTCATTTTTGTTAAAAAAACTTTAACAACTTTTTGAAATGCCTCGCGCTTATACTGTTGCCGAACGTGCAGACATGGTCCGTATTTATTACGAATATGCTCATAATGCTGCGGAAGCTGCACGCCAGTATCGAATACAATTTGAAGGTGTGCGTGTTCGGTTTCCGAATCATGCTTCAATTCTCCGAGCGGTTCAGGATTTTAATATGAATGGCAACGTTTTACCGGGTGCTGCTGAACGCGTTGGCCGACCACGAACAGCTCGCAGCCTTCATAATGAAGAACGGGTTCTTGAGGCCATTGCAGCTGATCCTGGAACTAGCACTTGCCAACTTGAACGTGGATTGGAGATCTCCCGCAGCACAGTTAACCGCATAACTAAGGACAACGCACTACATCCTTACCACGCTACCAAGGTACAACATCTGGAACTTGGAGATTACGAGATGAGAAGACAGTTTTGCAATCAAATTCTCAATATGCACCGTGAAGACCCTAACTTTCTGAGGCATGTATTGTGGACTGACGAATCACCCTTCACTCGTGAGGGGTGTTTTAATCCCCATAATGTGCATCAGTATGCGATTGAAAACCCACATTTTGATTGGGTGCAAAGTTTCCAGCACAGGTGGAAAATTAATATGTGGGGCGGTATTATCGGAGATACCGTTATTTTATATCAATTACCAGAAACGCTAAACGTAAGTTAAAAAAATGATCAATTTATATTTTCATGAGTTGATCATACAATTTTTTGATTATTTATTAGGGAAACTCGTACTTGGCATTTTTGCAAGAGGTTCTTCCAGGGTTGCTCGAAGAAGTTGGAGAGCGTCCTCAGTACTTCCAGCATGATGGTGCACCGGCTCATTACTTCGGTCGTGTCCGGGATCACCTAAATGCTGAGTACCCACGACGCTGGTTTGGGAGAAACGGCCCGTTTCGTTGGCCCCCAAGATCACCGGACTTAACACCTCTGGATTTTTTCTTGTAGGGATACATGAAGGACGTCGTTTACAAAACCGTGCCCGAGGATCAGCTTGACACTCTGGAGCGGATTCGATTATCGCAAGCAGACATAACACCAGAAATGCTGGAGAACGTCAGAACGAATATCATTAAACGTTGTGAAATGTGCTTGCAGAGAAATGGAGGAACCTTTGAGCATCTCATGAGATAAAGGACCGAAGACTATTTAAAAAACGGCCCTTCTTAGGGCCACCAAGTTTCCCTAAAAAAAAAGAATGCCTTTAGTTACCCAGAGAGCCATACCCACATAACACAAAAATATATTGAAAATATTGAATGAATATTTTTGCTAAATGAACTAAATATTGAAGAAATATTAGTCATTATTATTTAAATGCTAAAAATACAAGAAAATTTAGTACACGTCTTGATAAAAAATATTTATAAAAAAATTTATTTTAGAAATAATCGATATAAATAAAAGTAAAATATTTAAACACAAAAATTATTTGAAAAAAAAGTTTATTTAAGAAATAATCGATATAAATAAAAGTAAAATATGTATACAAAAATTAATTGAAAAAAATCACGGAAATAAAATATTTTTTTTTTCCTACAGTCTTGGGTTTTCTGCTAATCATCATCATCTCTTACTTACTTTGTTTTCTATTATGAATTGCTGCCTAAAGATTCTCTGTTAAAATTCTACTTTTGAAATTCATTGAACAATCATATTTTACCTTCTTGCTTAGCATCAAGTTCATCCAGCATCTGAAGTACTAAAATTCAGATGTACATATTACAGTGAATGGCTTGCACGATTTTTGTTTTAGATACCCCAACACCTGCACTTCCAGTGCGCGTTATTTTAGAACACACTTCATGTGAAGGCTGCATAGAAATAATACTAGTATTATTTCTATGGAAGGCTGCTTTAACAATTAAATTCAACCTGCCTACGACGTCCTCGTCAGCGACAAATTTAAAGTAGCTAACATATAACATAACAATAAAAAACACTCATGTTAATGAGTAAAAGTAAAGTAAAACCTTGGTTCTCTGGGTAAAACTAACCTAAAATCTAAAACACTGACAGTGACAGTGACAATGTCAACCATATAATTAAGGTAATTATACACAACGATTTTATACAGAATTTCTAAGATTACGCTGCACATTATAGTCCTCCCACCTCTAATCAGTCTTCTAAAACACGCCTGTGATTGGCTACTTTATTTTATTAATAACTAATTAATGGTGCGTCTGATCGAAAAACGGCAAATTCCATTCGACTTAGAATCCCATTCTCTATTTACCCCTTTTCTGCTGTCCTTGACTTTTGAGACACCCTGTATATTAATATATTTAAAATTTGTAGAAAGTGAGGTTAACCAAATGACAGATGTCAGATTTTATTTATTTATTTTTGTAATATTTAAATATTATTAGTATAGTATTACACTCAAGATTATGCGCATTATTTACTCGGATGATTTGCTTTCCTCGTCTAGCGACTTGAGACGCGAACCTCATCCTAGTGAATAATAGCCAGCATTATCTCTCGACAAAAACTGTAAATTTAGAGCATACAAATTCATGATTTGGCTGTTGATTTAGGTTTTTTGTTAAAATATTTAAATTATGGGTTGCAAATTTTCTAATTATACTAAATATATTGCTTTCTTTCTCAGGCGGTAAAAAAGGTTTCCTCAAGATACTCAGGTTGCGGGATTCGTTCTGCAAGTTTTCAAGGTGACGTACTCACAGTGGGCACTGGCATAGGAATGTTGATGTTCTATGATCTCAAAGCGGGAAAATATCTCGAATCGAGCATTAATTCTTCCAGAACAGTGGTTTTAAAAGCCAGTAAAGGATATGTGGTAAGTAAGAGACCCAACAAACACCTAATATCGTGACGCTACTGCAACCATGGTTGCTGCCCTACTGGAGATTACTTAATTTTCATCTTAAAATCTTTTTTGGTCGTTGAAAACTTGAATCTTAAAATGCTCTTATTTTATATTTCAGTTGCCCAAATGGGTCATGCAAAGTATTTTGTGATGCATTACTCTATTTTGACGTGCGATACTTTGGCGTTAAAAACTATATTTTAGCGTATTTTATATGAGTTCGAAAAAATCACGATTTAAAAAAAATCAATGATTTTTATTTGAAAAATCAAAAATATCAACAAAAACGATATTTTGATTTTTTATACTTTTATTACAATATTCAATTCAATTCAATAAGCTTTTTTTAATAGAGTGTACTATTAAAAAAATTCTAAAAATAACTTAACTATAATAATATTATATTGGCACTACTTTATAAACAAATAAACCACCATCCGCAACTGTCATATATTTTTTTGTATATTCCTTTGTTATTTTATTTAACAAAATAAGCAGTTTTTCTATTCTTATGAATTTATTTAAATAGTGTGCTTTAGTTTTAGATCTTTTAAGTGTTTTTTAGATTATAGACACTTTTTTAAAACTGATTAATATCATTGATTATATAAAAAAAATCACTTGATTTAAATCGTTCTATATTGAAATTAATGTATTTTTCGTAAAAAATTGTTTGGTCACTATACATGTTTTGTTTATTGAAATAAATATATCACACTCAAAAAAAATTACCGAATTTATATAATATTACATATATTTATATATAACGTAAACAAACTGTTTCTTTAAATGATCTCTGTTGCGCAAATATTTAAAAAAAAATAGTAGTTTTCCATACATTTATGGAAATAGGTAGATTTTGTCTAAAATATTTTTTCATATTTGTAATAGATGGCGCTGTAATGACAAAAAATCAATTTTGTTTGATTTTTCTTCTGTATACGATTCTCTAATAATTTTTGAATAAAATACTTGGTTTTATTTTTTAAACTTATTTATTTATTTCGTTTTAATATCCTGCTAACACTGCTCTGGGATTTTTCCAAATCTCTAGCTAATTCTCGTGTGCTTGCATGAGGATTAGCGGCCGTTGCTGCTAATACATTAATTTCATTATTTCCACCTGTGACTGTTGCTCGACGAACTATTTTTTTCGTTTGAACACTCCCTTTAGTAGTAAACTGCTTGACTGTACGGGGCCATTCCACGCTTAACGGATAGGACAGTTGCCGTGTTTTTATTTACAAAATAATATTGTTCTATTATATTACCAATGTCAAATTTTTATAAATAGTTACGCTTTAAATTATTAGTTTTTAAGGAATCAAACAGTCAACCATGATCCTAATTTTGCCAAATAAAAACCTTGTTAAACAGCTTTAGTTTAGAACTATTTATAAAAATTTTACATTGGTAATATAATAGAACAATATAATTTTGTAAATAAAAACACGGCAACTGTCCTATCCGTTACGCGTGGAATGGCTCTACGGTGAAATGAAGTACGTGGTCGAATTTTATCCGGAAAACTCTGAGCGTAGATATTAACACCATCATCAAGATTCCTGCCTGCTTCTCCATAAATCAAAATCATTTATATTTTTTTTTCCATTGTTAAAAAATCCATTATGATTAACTGCTTAACGAAAGGAGGTATTTTTGTTTGCAAATTCATCTTCGAACTAAATTCATTAAATAATGCTAAACTATAAATAGTTTCTTTATACCTCAATAATAATTATTATTTAATTTTTATACCTCAATTAGGATTAAATTAATTAATTGACAAAATAATGTTTTTTTTACCTTATGAGGTAATAAAAAATAATAGTACAATAATCCTTTAAATTAAAGGATTTAATGCTGGCAGGTAAAATATGACCATGGTGGTCAAAGGAAACTTAAATGTTACTTAAAAAATCAGATTTAATTTAATAAGATATACAGGGTGTTTCAATAAAAACTCCCAGGCCAATTATTTCGAAAACTAAAAGTGACATTTAAATTCTGTAAACGCCAGTTTTTAGCCTCTATGATTGGCTTCACAACTGTGTGAAAAATGTTTTTGAATAATACAAGATGTAGGTGGCGCCACTGTGAAAAAATTTTTTTCGATGGCAGCTACTTTTAAATTAATTTTTGATCAAATTATGTCCCATACAAATTTTTGATAAATTCGACATGAACGGAGATATTTGGGGTTAAGTTTTTTTTTAAATAATTTTAAGGAGTATTTTAATTATAAATATTTTTAATATGCTTTAGCAGATGATCATATAATTCTGGTAATCATAATTATAGTGATAAAACGCTAGTGTAGCGCTAACTAGATTAAAATTATTACGTCCAGTGACGCCTCAGGGGGCCCCTTAACAAATAATATTGGCAAAAAATAATACGCCACTGACTTTTTGGTAATTTTTATATTTTTATTCGGACTAAGCAACTAAAAATATCCTTTTTTGTCTGTTAAATTGTTTTCATATCTTCCTTCGTTTTCGAGAAATACAAATAAAACCATTTGGAAAACAAAAATCATTAAGAAACAAATCCATAAATTATTAATACGCTAAATTTTTTGCTGTTTAAAAACAAAACAAAACATTAAAACATAATAAAATAAAATTAAAGAAAATTAGAACAATACCAAAAACTAACTAATAAGGTCGAACGAGGTGTTCAAAATTATTGCCGTTTTTATACACACATATCAAATCGATATAATAATTCGGTTCTACAAACTTTCAATAGTGTATTTTGATTAATAGCGGCTATAGTAACATATATTTTGTTGTACAGGTCAGCCATGTCGTCTATTGGTTCCTTGTAGACTTCTTTTTGTAAGCCGCCCCATAAATAAAAGTCAGGGGACCTTGCTGGCCATCTAAGTACTGATCACTTTTCCTGAAAACGCCATTTAGATGATTCATAACGATATTGCTATTGTGTGCTGGGGCACCGTCTTGATGAAACCACATAGTATTTACGTCAATTCACAAATTTTGTAAAAGCAAAGTGAGATCGTTTTGCAGAAATTGTAAATAACGAACTGAAGTTAAATGTTCATGGTACAAATAGGGCCCGAATATGTAACCATTTACAATACCGCACCAAACATTTACCCCCAAATCGTGTAAAATTTAGTCTGTCGTATCCAGTTAGGATTTTCCTGGGACCAATAGCGACAATTATGTTTATTAATTACTCCATTATTGTGAAACCGGGATTTGTCACTCCACATAATTTGGTTTAATAAATTTGGATTTTCTTCCAAAAGAATATGAAAATGTGTCAAAAAGTTTAATCTGCGCTGGTTATCTCCTTATTGTAGATGATGCACTAGATGAACCTTGTATGGAAAAAACATATTTCCTTTTAGGAACTTACTGAAATATTGGTTTCATCTTTTAATATTGAAATATTAGTTTCATCTTTTAATTTTTGTAATGACGATTGTGGGTTATGTTTTACTGATTGCAGGACTAAAGCTACATTTTCGTCAGTCGTATCCCTCTTCCTTCTTGAAACCGTTTCCTTTTTAAAGCTACCATATGTAGCTAAGTTGGTACACAAAGCTACAAAAGATTTGCGATCTGGCGTTGGTCTCGATAGCAGCGCACAGCTTCTGAAGCATTTTGATGCCATTCTCCATAAACTAAAACCATGTATGTTCAATTTGTCTTGATTTGTATGGTGAACCATTTTTATTTTAGAAATGTAGAAATTGAAAATTCTTACACTGACACTAAGTAAAGAAAAAAATACTTGATATTTCTAAAATTCAATTGTTTTTATTTAATGATTATTGTTTTTCAGAGATATGCAGTGAAATGGTTCTATTTTTATTTCTCGAAAACGAAGCAAGATATGAAAACAATTCAACAGACAAAAAAGGATATTTTTAGTTGAATAATCCGAAAAATATATAAAAATTACCAGACACTCAGTGGCGTATTATTTTTTGCCAATATTATTTGTTAAGGGGCCCCCTGAGGCGTCACTGGACGTAATAATTTTAATCTAGTTAGCGCTACACGAGCGCTTTATCACTATAATTATGATTACCAGAATTATATGATCATGTGCTAAAGCATATTAAAAATATTTATAATTAAAATACTCGTTAAAATTATTAAAAAAAAAACTTTACCCCAAATATCTCCGTTCATGTCGAATTTATCAAAAATTTGTATGGGACATAATTTGATCAAAAATTAATTTAAAAGTAGCTGCCATCGAAAAAATTCTTTGCACAGTGGCGCCACCTACATCTTGTATTATTCAAAAACATTTTTCACACAGTTGTGAAGCCAATCATAGAGGCTAAAAACTGGCGTTTACAGAATTTAAATGTCACTTTTAGTTTTCGAAATATTTGGCCTGGGAGTTTTTATTGAAACACCCTGTATTACCAAAAAAGTGATATTTTTGTAGAAAAATTATTGCAGAATCGTATAAGAAAAATCGAACAAAATTGATTTTTTCATTACAGCGCCATCTATTAAAAATATGAAAAAATGTTTTTAGACAAAATCTACCGAATCTGCAATATAAAATAGGGTGTTACATTGGAAATTTTAAAGTTACCCCCTGTTCCCCCTATAAGGAGGAAAGTATGAGGACCAATTTTAGTACTGATTGATTTCTCCCCTCGAATCGAATCATAAAATGCATACTAGATATATGGGCGTTTCTCTGTAAACTGGGCAACTCTTTGTCTCAAGCTAATATTGTTTAGAAAAATAACAGATCATAAATATTTCGTAGATAACTTCAAAAGATAATAACCTAATCTACCTATGCTCGACGTTCAAAATCCCATAAAATAAACTTTAATGTATCAAAATCGTCACTTCAGACTAAATTAATTAAAGACAGTAACTATTGGAATCAACCTAATTGTTTAATTATTCAACCAATATTGTTTGCTTGTTACTGTGACTTATTTATTTTTTATAATTATTATTTTGTAATTCTAAAAAAGTCATCTAAACTTTGTCTCCGGATTTTATAAACAGTCCCCTGTATAGATTTTTCAGAAAATGCTCAATGTTTTCCAAAGTAATAGGAATGATTTTGGTTCATCTGCCGTATACTAATAAATAGACCGATATTTATTCCTCGAATGACATTTATTAAATACAACAAAAATATAACAAAAAAACTTGCCTAGACAATTTCTTACTTCAAGTTGCCCAGTTTACAGAGAAACGCCCATATATATATAATATTATATTATATATAAGATATTTCATAGTTTCAAGTTAAATGACCCTGTATATCAGGATATTTATCACTGATATATATCACTGATATATACATATCCTGCCAGCCTTGGAATATAATAAGGTTTATCTGCACGCGGTCTATAATTTAAACTTTATTGTTGTCAACATTCGATAAAGAAATACCTTGTTATGGCCTAGGCCGATAAAAATTTTTATGAGGCAAGTAATTAGTTCGATTTTTTCTCGCTAGGTTTAATTTATTTATAATTAGCACTAATTTGTTTGTTTTACTGTTAATGTTTAATATTTTTCATTAAATTATTGTTAGGTTGGGCAACCAAGAAAACGCACGATTATTTTTCTACGATTTAAATTATCTTTAAGTTTTAATTAGCTTTAAGTTTTCAGTGAAATTAAATTTTAAACACAGCTTAAACATTCCAAATAATCTATTTTTTAAATAAAAATCCAAACAAATTGAAATTAGATACCTACCTATTTATTAAACAATTAATTGAATTCAATGTAATAGCAAAAATCAATTTCTACTTAAATTATGTAGCTAGGTATTGTCAAACTATTACTGCTTATAAAAGCAATAATAATTATTGTACATTTAATGTAATCTTTAGCTAATAAATAAATGAGATTCTAAAAAAGTGAGGTTAGGCCGCTTTGATGTTGAATTAAATTGACCTATATAAAGTGCTTTGATGATAAAATGTTGTATGCCATTCGGCCAAGAAGTGCCTTTTTGTGCTTCGCTCAATTGTTCAAACCTTGAGCTTAGCACAAAAGCCGTACTTCTTAACCTAATGACATAAATAACTATTACAACCAAAAACGACTGTATGCGCAGTGAGTACTTTGCGCATCTGCCGCTATTTGGCCTTGTGGTTAGAGAGTTAATCCTTCTTTATTTAGTATTCTTTGTAAAAAGTCTAAAAAGTAAGCTATGCCGTAACTTTTTCAGTATCCCGACGAAGAGTACCAGGACAATATAGCCAACATAAAGTACGTGCCGGCCATTTACACGCACTGCTACGACACGAGCGGTACTCGGCTGTTTACGGCTGGAGGACCGCTACCGTCGACCTTGACAGGAAATTACGCGGGTCTATGGCAATAGAAAGTAGAATTTATTTAAACGAATATAGAATTATTTAGGTTCATAATATTTATATTAGTTTATTGTACCGTCGATTTTACTCTCTCTCAGTAGGTGCAAGTTTTTTATTATTAATGTCAGGCACATGCGCAATGCTAAAATCGCGTCAAATTTTTAGTATTACGCAGGTGTATGATATTAATTAACGTTTGCGAGAACTTTCTACATGGTGTTAGGGAGTGAATGGTAAACAATCAAGGAGGTGGTAGGCCACGCCGACTCGAGCATTTTAGGTCTTGCGGATATCTGGTCTCCTACAGAGCTACATACGTCAAAAACTACCTACAACGTTTAAAGCTTAATTTTCATGTATCCGTTTGTCCGTTAGTCCGATCATCCGGGAGCGCTCTTATTGGTCCAAATATAATTCGAAAATTATAACATTTTATCGGTCCGTCAAGTTTTGACTTCGTACGTCTGACGAAGAAAGTTAAAATAATTTTAACTAATCTGTCACTACACATCTGTTTTTGACGCCTAACGTTATTTTATGATAATTTATTTTCAAATCTTTTAATATTTTTTTAATACGATTGTAAAACGGAAATATTACGCGGGGGGTAGGTAAACCACTTTAAAATCTTAAAGACCAACGTCCAATGTTAGTGGACGTTGTGTTTTGTTTTTTTCCTTATCAGTCGTTATCAATAAGAAAAACTTGCTTAACCAGTGCTTATCAATAATAAATTTCGCTTAGCAACGCGTTGCGCATGACTACTCTTGTTATTGTTATCCTTAGCCATTAATTCGTAAGCGATTTTTAATTTTAAGAAATCAGTGGTTTACGTTCGTTATGTGACACGGTGTGCCTGAACGAAGTTTAAGTCACATAAACATGCCGCCAAAAACTGATTGCAGTTTCTTGTTCGGGACCCTTTATGACTTAAAAATGATATTTACTAAAATCGTAGCTGCTTCTCTTTTCGAAATTTTTGTTTATTTCAAAGTCTACCTTTGACAGAGTACACATTTGTATACCGATTTTTATAAAATTAGAGTATATTATTGAGGAGAATTAAAGAATACCTTTTAATACTGTTTACATCATTTGATATATACAGGGTGAGCCAAAAATCGCTTATATTTGATAAAGCAAAAGCGTAATTTCATGATTTTGGCATAACATGCAAAAAAGATTTATCCCCATTTTTTTTAGATATTTCTACGTTTATCAGGTTACAAAATGGCATTCTTATTAACCTTTTATAAAAAAAATGTATTTTTAATAAAATTAAATAAAATAACGCTTAGAGAATATTTAAATGTTGTTTAATTTAGGCTTTTTAGTAGTTTTCAATTTTGAACGAAAAACTGATTAAAGTTTTTTGATCGGCACTCTTTGGAGATTTAAAAACGATATTTACCAAAATTCTAACTGCTTTTTTCAAATTTGTTAAAAAATCATTTTTTTTTAATTATTTGTTTATCGCAAAATCTACCTTTGCCAGAGTACACATTTGTACACCGATTTTTATTGATTACAGTTTCTTGTTCGGGACCCTTTGGTAACTTTAAAATGATATTTACCAAAATCCTAGCTGCTCCTCTTTTCAAAATTTTTTGAAAATTTTTAATTTTTTTTTTAATTTTTGTTTACCTTACCTTTGACAGAGTACACATTTGTACACCGATTTTTATAATATTGGAGAATATTGTTAATGAGACTTGTAGAATACTATTTTCATACTGAGCACATCATTATATTTATAAAGGGTTAGCCAAAAATCACTTTTTATATAGTAAAAAGCATAATGCACAAAAAAGATATATCTCCAAAAAATGTTATTTTATTTAATTTTATTTAAAATCAATTTTTCTTATAAAGTCTTAATAAGAATCCCATTTTGTAGCCTGATAAACATAAAAATATCTAAAAAAACATGGGTTGGTATATATCTTTTTTGCGTGTTATGACAAAATCATGAATTTACGCTTTTGCTTTGCTTTATGGCTAACCCTGTATATATTAAATGATGTGCACAGTATAAAAAAGTATTCTCCAAATCTCCTTAACAATATAAGCCCGCTGCACAACAGCCCGGTAACGGGAACAGGAACAGGAAAATAAACGGTAAAGGTGGGAGAGACTCAGCGAACCCTATCTATCAACAGTGGTTTTTTAGTCTCTCCCACCTTTATTGTTAGGATTCCCGTTCCCGTTACCGTGCTATTGTGCAGCGGGCTATACTCCAATATTATAAAAATCGGTGTACAAATGTGAACTCTGTCAAAGGTAGACTTTAAGATAAACAAAAATTTTAAAAAAAATTCGAAAAGAGGAGCAGCTAGGATTTTGTTAAATATCATTTTTAAGTCACCAAAGGGTCCCGAACAAGAAACTGCAATCAGTTTTTGGCGGCATTTTTATGTGACTTTGTTCAGGCGAACCGTGGTGAATAATGTTCTACTGTTATGTTTTTATTTAATAAGAATAACCGAAACAAAGAAAAGACAAACAAAAATATTAAAACCAGAACTAAACGTACCTGCTTTTTTTAAACTATACATTTTAATGTATATTAAGGCTAGTATATTCTTTTTATATGGTATATTTACCGATCTTTAAATTTATTAGACAGCTAACCTTTATAATCTGTGCAGCTATGTAACTGTTAAAGTTACAATTGTTGACATAATTGTAACTATGACAATTAAGCATTAGGTAAATTTAGTTACGTGAATATACTGACCCTTAATTTCTATTTGTCGCCAAATCAATTCGTTTAACGTCATTAAAAAACGGATACATGAAAATTAGGAAATTTCTTGTCGGAAGATTTTATTGAAAAACGGACGGATACATGAAAATTAAGCTTAAAGCCCCGTTGAGTTTTTATACCCAGTATTTAAATCGAAAAACAAACAAGCAAATTTTAAGTATAGTTGGATCCTTGGTAGGAAAACACCTAAAATGTCACAAACTTGTCCTAAAATCTACGATATGTCATCACAAAATGTCAAAAAATTAACCTTGTAACATTTATAAATTTTAATTCTTACTTTAGGATAAATATCATTTAGTTAAATATTCTCCCAGTCGCAACGTTCTTAATATAAAAATATTTCATAACTTAAAAGCAGTTTTAAATAATTGTAAGATCCACAATAGCACAAGTGCTGGAGCATACCAATATGAACATGAATAATATTTGGATTATGCTAAAACATAGGTACCTAAAATCCCAACTCTTAATTACAATTTTAAGAGTTTCCCCATCAACTTTCTTACTTTATATAAAAAAAAATGTTATTTCAATGAGAAATTTTTAAAGTCTTAAAATTGAAATTAGAAGGTGGGATTTTAACTGAATTTTTATTTAGGCATTTTCATGTTGTTTGGTGCAAAATGTAAGTTATATTATACTGTATAATTTATACATAGCCGTAAAAATATACTGGGTGTTTGTTAAATTTTATACACTTGCGCTTTTTTTGTGGGGACGAAAACATAAATATTGTCAAAAATATTTTTTAAGTTTGGAATATACTTATTTCGATAACGCCAAGTTATACATTTCATGAACTTTTTTTTCAACCGTTCTTTGCTTGTCAACTAAAAGAAGGTAAAGTCGTTTTACACGTTGTTCCTACCGAGCGTTTGGACTGTCAAATGGACGCCAGGGACATGCGCAGTAGTAAAATTGCGCATCCGATTTTGGTTTGCGCATCCCATTTCGGTATTGCGCATAGTACCATGATCCACACGTACAAGTATAAAAAAATTGTAGATAATTTATAATATATTATTTTTGCATTAAAATTGTCAAAAATATTCTTCTTTTATTAGGTTATACATTAAATAAAAGAAAACGCAAGAAATATTTTATAAAAGTAGAGATAATTTTAATAATTGACAGGTGTGGACGGGACAAGATAATACGATATTCTGATTAGTAATGAGCAGGCCTATTGGTCTTTCAAAGGATATTGTTGACTTTTGGGACACCCTGTATAAGTTGAAATTAGCGTCAAACTAATAAAAAGATATTCTCAATTATTTGTGTTTAAAAGTCAAGGTGGGACTTTTGCTTGTGAAGCACACTACGTGACAAATACACGGTAGGGACAAGCCTAATATATGTATTTACAAGTTTTTGTTTAACTATATTCATAACAAATAAAATTGAATGTCCCCAAATACATGTATATTTTCTCAACCACCACAAACAAATGTCCAAAATATTTACCAATTTAAAAAATGAGAGAGAGTAAAATCGATTATTAAAGTAATTTGTTCTTCTTATTTGTGGGAATGTGTCGATTGCAATTTTAGGTATAAGTATATATTTTTTATTTCATTTTTATTTAACGACCTAAATGTAATTTTATATTTAAATGATTTAATTAATTTATGTGCGCTGAAATCTGTACTATGGTAGTAGCCTAACTAGTCTCAAAGAAAACGAGTGTTTTTTACAACAAAATATATTAAATAAATTTTATGGATTCATTTTACAATACAACACATTTATAAAAAGCATTTATTTGTACTGACTACAAATTTGCACTTTTGGCCACTGACTGGGTAATGTTTATGTTTAATTTTTATAAATATTATTATTTATTTTAAAATTACATACACTAATATATACCTACACCCAACAAAAAATTGTGTTTTGCGTCCACTAGTAAAAAGCAAAAATAATATACAAAGAAATTCCACTTTTACACTTTTTTGATGTGTTTTATTATTTAGCTTTGATACATTTAAAGACTGTTTAATTTATTTTTGTTATTTGTCCACTTGGATAAATGTGCAATTATTATTTTATAATTAAAATTTTATTTAGTGATGCAACGATTATTAATATTAAGATTAATAAACAAAAGGTAAGTTTATATAGAACACTTTATTTCTTTTAAAAAGTATTAATATTTTACAATATATTTAATAAATTAAACAAAAACACAAAAACGAAAAAATATTTCTAAAAAAATAAAAGGAAAACTTTTGATATAAAAATCATTAATAGCATTTTTAAAATTTAATATAAATTATGCAAGTTTTCATATCATTTCCCAAGCAACAATTTAAGTATTTGTTACGTATATGGGACTATTGAAGAAACTTCAAAGTGTTTTGCGACAGTCGCCGGTCTCTTTATATTACTCTTTCATTACTACGTTACGACTAAAGTGGGGAACAATTATTGAGTTCCAAAAAGGTAGCAAATATGTCACTAGCTACCAACCCTGCTACTATTTGGGACGTAGCTGCTACGTTACTAGAACGTTCCAATATCGTTGCTAGAGCGTTATAATTACTTTTATTATTTGTTTTTACTTCTATATTAACTGTCTTTGTCAAACTTATATTAGATTATACTATCCCTCCTTTTTTAAATGGAACCACTACGGACTTGGCTTTTCAATGTCGTCGTATATTAAATATGTACTGGTAGTTTATAACTTCCAGAATAACAATATAATATTTAATTAGACAGGTAGATTTATAAACCCTTTAAATTTTACTGT